AGTAAATAATAACCAAACTCACACTAAATTACTATGGTTTATAAAACTTATAATCCTATAAGCTATAATTATATTTAAATCACTTGGCGGGTGACTTATGGTTATGAACTTTGCTTATTTTATGCCTCACTTCTCTTTCCATTCTTCCCAAACCTATTTTTCTTTAACTTTTTCTTCCCTACTCCTCTTTTTTGTCCCGAAGTCATTCATAAACTCTTATTCGCACCCCTCCTTTTTGTAGCCTAGCCCTCTTTTACTATCCCTCAAAGCCATTATTTTATATGGTCTTTTCATCACGCTCCTTAGAATTATCCCTATTAAGCCCCTATCACTTTTTCATAGGGCTTGAACCCTTTTCCTCCAATCACTAAGACAAATTAGCGATTACCAGATACACTTCCCAATTTACCCATATATTGTAACCACTATTTTCTTTACCCACATATATATTCGTTCAATCTAGAAAGATGTTTATTGATTTCATAGTCCCCTAAGTATTAGCGACTTCTACAACTACTTTACGACCAAATAGATAGGCAATCAAAGCATAAAGATTAGTTCTATAAAATAGTAGCCCTATATAAATAATTTATATATAATAATATAAGATAGAATCATTAACCTATAACGTGCTTTGTGTTTCTACTCCCATCCCCTACAAGGCGGAGAAAAACTATCAAGAAGGATGCCCATATTGGAACAAAGCATAAAGATTAGAAAGGGAATAAAACCCAACTATAAAACCATAACTCTGCACTTAGCGATTAAAGAAAAATCATTTCCTCCTTCTGTATTCTGTTCAAGCCACTATATGTGGCTACTTCCCTCTTATCTAATAATAGTCCCCAGAGCAAATTTGGTTTCCGAATATCTTAACTACCAGGAAAGACAATTAGGATAAACCCATGGGGTACCCAAAGGGTAACGATAATCAAACAATACCAAGAAGAATCCCCAAGAGCAACCCAAGAATAGGAGAATACTTCTATAAAATCAACAATCCACTAGTAGACAATACCAGCGAAGAAGGGAACAATAATCACACATCACTTCAATCCCCCAGAAATCACAGGCCAGAGGTAACCTCTCACCATCTATAAATAATAACAGGCAAGCCTGTTCCCTTAGCAAAGGTACTATATATCACCATGTAGAAATTATAAAATAGTAAAATTTATCTAAACACCAGTAAATCTATATATGTATATAAAAAAGCCCTTATTCGTCTTACTAAAGTCTTCTCAAAATATGCTTTTGCTCTATAAAGGAGATAAGGTTCAAAAACGGAATAAGCGGTTTAGTTGTGTCATTCTTCTCTATTTGTTATGAGAAGAATCTTTTGTGGTAGGGGGAGCGGTCTAAGGCGTCTAGCTGTTAACTAGAAGATCCCTGGTTCAAATCCAGGTCCCCCCAATTTGTTATCCCTTTATCTTTTATCCTTCCTTTTCATCCTTTCAACTTTTGCTTTCTTCCTATTCTACACTTTCATATGATAGAGGGTACTCTTTCCCCCTTTCTCCAAACCTTCTGCAGAATTAGGTTAGTGGTTTTTATTAAAATACAAACTAGTTCTCAGTCTTCCTATTAGTTCTTTCTTTTTTATTTGGCTTATTCTTGACTTTTTTGTTTTCATTTCGGCCCTACACCGACAATCTATTGTAGAACTACATTCTTCAATTATGTTTTTCTTTATTCTTATTAGTTGTTACCTTTTACTTCTGTAGTTATTTCTTTCAATCTATTTTAAAATGGTATTGTTGCTAAATATTCTTATCATGGTATTTAAATTGTGCCTATTCAAAAGTGTTTTTTAGTGCTATTAATTATTATATACGTTTTTACAGTACTACATCTTCTGATGTGAATAGAGTTTTACGAGGATACAGATGAGAAAACCAATCATTAAGGAGAATAAATAAAAATCAGGTATCTATAGATGAACCATAAACAAATGATATAAAGGTTGGGCAATATAAAGATTTAGCTAAAATATTTATAAGATATTTTATATAAAAAAGAGAGATACTCTTGTTATCAGTAGAGTTTTAATAAAATATGGTTATTACAATTTTACATTAGAGATCTTAGAATATTGTGACTTAGCTAATTTTACATAAAGAGAACTATATAGATATCTTAAATACTAAGTATTATTCTATTAATATTGCAGTCTATAGGTTATAAACAAACTGAGGAGACTAAAATCAAACTTAGTAGATCTTTAAAATAATGTAAAATCTGCTTTATTTGGTCGTATTCAAACTAAAGGAATTATATCTTTAAATAAGAATGATAAATTAGGGAAACTCATAGCGACGATAGTAAAAAACTAATGAGAAGCTTTAGGTCGATAACACTCTGACTCTATAAAAAAGGAGCACTAGAACAATCCAGTTTACATAAATGAGAGAATGTGAAGGACAAAAAGAAAAAGGAAGAAGCTGGAGAAAAAGATAACTAGGGGAAAAATAAGATTGTATATAAAAACAGGGAAACAGATAGAAACTTTCCAGGATAGACAATAAACTAACAATGAATAAAATATCACTAAAGGCTGTAAACACCTAAAGATTTTAGGAACTAGAAAGTAGATAAAGGAAATGAAAAAAGAGAAAAGTGGACAAGGAGCAGAAGGAGTAGGATGATAGAAAAGAGAAAATGGAAGGATTGAGAAAAAGGGAGAAGAAGAATGAAGAGGAGGATGAGAAGCTCAAGGTGGACAATGAGAAAGAGGATAGAGAAGAAGAGGGGAAGAGATAGGGATCTTGTCCCGGACTCTGACTTATTATTAGGTTTATTCATCCTTTTAGATGTTCATTTTTACTTGTTCCTAGACTCACCTTCTTCCAGGGGCTGCTTTCCTCTTTCTCCCACTTCCTTTTTGTTTCTTACTCTGTTGTTTTCGCTCCTCTCTTTTTCCTTATTCTTTCTTTTTTAGATTAAGTTTTATACAGACGATTACCTTCTTAGTCTAAATATATTTATGTTTAGAATTGTTCTACCCCTTTATGCCCAACCTTTCAATCTTGGCTAGATTCTTTTTAGTTATCTCAATATTTGTAGATGATTAGATTGTCTTAACTCAATAGTGATCTTTAGATATTTACCTTTCTAATTTAGTACTTCTCGGATCTTTTATATTGTCACTTCTAAAGTTATTCTTCTGTCTATCTTTTCCATTTCTAAAAAAAGTTTCCATTTAACAGTGATAAAGTCTACCATAGAACTTAGGTTATTATTATCTTTATGGGCTTTCTTTATCCTTTGGTTCTTATTCTTTTTTTTTATTCTTTTTCTTATTATGGATTTATTGTTGTGATCCCCATATAGACTCCCTTGAATTCTTTATCATGAGATTTGGGAGTCGGGGTTCTATTCCAAATTGTCCTAGGGGGAAGCATTAAGTAGAGTCACTTTTATAGAGGGGGTTGCTACACGATGATCTGGTCCGGCTTATATAGGGCCTACCCAGCTCATCTAACAGGCCATCACTAAAAGAGTACATCCCTTGGTTCCCTTCCCCCCTTATTTTAAAGAGTCCTTGAACCTCCCCCATCTACAAAGGAGGTGAAATTTGGGCTCGTTTATTAATCAGAAACTTATTACAATATCCACCAAGGAAGAGAGGCCATATTCAAACTAATAGCATAGCTAATCTCTGTCAAGAGGATGGTTTGTACGGTCTTTCCCTTAGTCTTTCTACCTGATATTTTATTAGTATCGTCTTGACGAAAGCCGGGGAGAGTGTATTATTTGGGACCCTTCGCTCTTATGGTAACCACTAAGGCTTCTAACTTTTGACTAAGACTTTATCCCCATTGGTACCTCTTCCAGATCCCTTTATTTTAGAGTAAGCCACCAAGGTTATTGATAGTAAGCCACCAAGGTAATTTATTCTTCCCCACCTTTTTCTTACCCACTTTTATACTTCCCCACCTAGTTTCTATGTCTCTTCATACTCATGTCTCACTCTCTTCCCTACCTTCTCATTGTTCCTCTACCCCAATCTCTATCTTTCCATCTCCTTTTGTTTCTTTTACCCTTTGAGGTCTTTCTTCTTAGTTTTTTCTTTAGTCGTTCTTTCTTACGAGTTCTATTCCCTCTTTTCCTTTTTTCTTTTCACCTTTTTATATTCTTTTCCTATTTTCGTTCTTATCCAAATAGGCTCCCTTATCAAACTCAACCGGCTTGTTGTAGGTTTCCCTGAGTCTCTTCTTCCAGATCCCGCTTCAATCACTTACCCACCAACTTAACTTCTGCTAGACGCTCATTGTAAAGTTATTCAAAGCATTTATGTTTCCTTACCTTATTGACTGTTAAGTCTCGACCGGCGATGGGTTGACATCCCACTTGCTATGAGGTCGTCTTCCACCCGGTCCATTTATTAGGTCCGATTCCACACCAATAGACTCATTCGTTCCTCTACTTTCCAATCCCCTTCGTCCACCCCATCCTTAGCACTTTCATACCTGATCCACCGGCCACACGCTGATCTGCTAATCCATCACAATGATTGGGCTAGTCTTTATATCACCCCCTACCCTGTCACTTGCTATCCTACTTCTTTTTTAGTCTTCTCACAATCTTTTCTAAGCTCTTCCCCAACCTTCTTAGTCTTTTTCCTCCCTACCCTTTCTCTTTCATCTTTTAGCTACTTTTAGTTAGACCACTCCTATTGGTGCGGTGTTTTGATCCCACCCCCTTACAATCTTTCGTCCTCATCCTATCCCCATTACGATCCCGATCCCTCCCCCTACTTTTCATCCTTTCAATCTTTTTACTCTTTTTTATCCCCTTTTCAACCCCTAGCCCTCTATTCTTTCTATCCCCTTTTTTGTTAAGTCCCTTTCTTTCCTATCCATATTTCCTACCCAATGCCTTCCTTTATTCTTTTAGTTCAAGTATCCTCACCATTTTCACCTTATAATGGTTCTATTGACTACTTACTATTACAAGCGGGATAGGTAGGGACTACTCTTTCATGGATTATACTTAATCCCCTAACCCTTCCATATGGTTTTTATTCCTATTTATCCATTCTTACTGATACACTTAGGTTACCCAATTACAATTTGTTACTTCCTCCATTCTTTCATGACCCATTGATTCCCTACTCTTTCTTTTTATTAATATGTTTCTATCACATATTATATTACAATTTAATCGATCTTTGTAGATCTCGATCCTAGCAACTTTCTGGCATAATCTCTACAGTGTTCCTATCCATTGGTGTGAGGTCTATATTGTATATATAAACTAATTTTACCGAGACAAGGGTACTCACATTGACCCTGATAGTCAAGCTCGTAT